ATAATGTTTAACATAATTAATTAATAAAATTTATATCGTTTGACTGCTTTGCTAGTCTTCTTAGCTCTCTCTTTTTAATGCTCGATATCGTTATACCATTTGTTATCCATTTTTTGTTGTTTGAAGGTTTAACTTTACTACAAAAAAATTTTAAAGGAAAGCATTCATCAAAAATTCTTTGAAAACATCCAAAAAAGTTTGAACAGTTTTCCTTAAACATTTTATCTAGTGAAACTTGCCAATTAGTAGGGTAATACTGATTTTTTTTAATGAATGAATTAATATTTTTATTTGCAAAAAATCTTCTTTTAACCCTAGGTAGATCAGTTTTGTGCTGAGATGAAATATTTTTAGAAATATCCACAAAGATTGCCCTATGATCTGATATACCTAGTTCTAGGTTCATTGATGGAGTTTCTTCACACGTTTTTAACTTTAGTGATAGTATGTTATCAATACAAGAAGCTTTATTGTTGGTTATCCTTGTGGGAGATGTTAAGTTTGTAATAAAACCGTAAGTCTCTAAAGTAACTCAAATCTTTGCTGTGGTTTATTTGTGTATTCCAAAACATCAATATTGAAATCCGCTGCAATGTAAACATTATTTATTTGGTTTTCTTTGTTCAGAATCCTTAACAAATCTTCAAACTTATTTAAAAATACAGGGTTATTACAAATGATGTTCATGATTTCAAACATACATAAAATATAGTTTTATTTGTTATACAAAGAAATAAAATGGTTACAACTTTTGAAAAACTCAAAAAGTTTCGACACAGATACACAGAACTGTAAATGCTCGATACGGGAACCCCTTGTGGTACGACAGATGTCAATAATGTAGTCAAGCTCTTGCTAGACTTTGAAAAGTGGGTCTTGATCTATTGTTTCGATAGCATTGGTAATCCGTTGCTGGATCTCAAGTATGCTATCTGATAATGGTGGTGTGTACGCCTTATCTTTGATGTATCTCCACAAGAAAAAAATACAGGGGGTGATGTCCGGAGATCTTGCAGGCCAGTTCCGGGGTGTGTCATTATTCGGCCCACCGAGCTCGTTCCATATCTCAGGCAGCACCTTGTTAAGTTCAGCCCTAACTACAAGTAACTTTCAAATGCAGCAATTTCTCTTAAATTTCAAGTGTCACTTGCCAATATAGTGGTTACTAGGAGGATAATCGTTAAACCTGGTTCTAAAGTGTCGTTGCACACTAATAACATATTGGTTAATGTAATATTACAACTGGCAAAAAGCTTACCTGCCTTCAAATTCAACCATTACACAACACTTACAACAATTGACTTGACAAACAGCTGATATGCACCCAAACCAATGTAAATGAAACTTTATGAGTTTTTCTTTCCAATGGTACCAACTAAAATAGTCTTGAAACAAATTAACCTAGTAAAATTTATAATCAAAATCAGGAACATCATTTGTAATAACCCTGTAATTTAAAGTTAGAATCATCCGGTACTCTGTACATTAATTAATTTTTTTAACACACAAATTAATTTTTTAGTTGAATGTAAAATTTCATTTAAGCTTTTTTAGATTATATTATATTGCTTACCGGATGTAAGTGTTTTATAGAAACGCCAACAGTGAAATCAGCTGATCAGGAAATGTGACTCACGCGAGCAAGAATGAATAAAGCGGAAATGAGCTAGGCCTATTTTGCGTACTGTTTACTGATGTGGCAATGTGATGATTGCACGGGTTGAAAAAATAATAAATTAGGCCTAGAGACTAATAAAAATTTTGGATTTTAATTTGAGTTTAAACATTACCTTAAAATCTGAGTTCCTCTTTGACGGAGCTGTTAATGGTTGGTGTAAACATTTTTAGAAAAGTGTGTTGTTAATTTTTACTGCGCCTGTCAACTCATCATTTCGGGAATTTATTTGGACTGGTTTGTGTAAACCTTTCGTTCCAAATAACCAGGAAATGATCTGAGTGCCACAAGATCACATGATCTTGTTTGCCAAGTCGATCACCGAAACGATGGATAAACCTCCTGAAAACGTGTTCAACAACTGCATAGTTTCTTGTGCTGCATAACATGTGGCTCCGTTTTGTTAAAGCCTTTTAACAAAATAATATCAGTTATAAAAAAACTTTAACTTTAACGTCGGTATCGGTCTAATGTTTAAGTTCAATTTGAACTTAAGTCGTTCAAATTGCTATTATCACCTGATTCATCCCAAATAATACAAAAAATTATCGCTTGACCTGATAAAGTTCTCCATTGACAGTAGGCTAACTGCATCGCTATGAACACTTCCACAAAATTAAGGTCCAATCACGCCTCCTACCTATAGTCTGTATGATAAAACCTGTCTCTTGTCTATAGTTTTGATATTTTTTAGGCCCAGGACTGTCACAGGTAGAAATAGGGTCGGGAAACAGGTTCCATCCTACAGACTATATATCACAAAATTGTACTAAAATCATGTTACGGTAATAATTTTTCAAAGTTGTTAAAAAAACACAGTTACTGTAGGCCTAATAGGTTTTGCAATTTAATATAACACCCCATGAAAACATCTGTCACATAACAATAATGTCCAACTACAGTAGACTCCCTCTTAGCCGGACACCTTTTAACGGGACTACACTAGGCGGAAATGACATTTTTTCCTAACCGGTTATCAGCACATTGATTTAAGCGGACTAGATCGGCAGGAAGTGGGCGGTATCGGTACTGAAAAAACTGTTCTCGTGGAAAAGATTTTAGACCAGTGATCACGTGTCTACATACAATTCTCTCCTAAATTTAAGTCAAATATCAAAGTAAACGGTCCGTTTTAACAAGTTTTTTCCGGACTGGCCTAGGTCCCGAGGAGTCCGGATAAGAGGGAGTCTCCTGTACAACGTATTTGTCGTATAAGCCCTACCACAAAAAATATTAGTACTGTAGCTATTTAATGTAGGCCTAATTATGTAATAAGTTCAACCAATCCAAATTGTAACCTATAGCCTAACAACATTTCCTGTTACATTTAAGGTAGGCTACATAAACTTAATGTTAGGACAAAAAATATTAACGTTTGTTACTGGTAGCGACTCTTTATATTTTATATGGTACGCAACAATGCTATGGATTTATTGGTTGGTTAATGCGTCAGATCAGATCAAAAGCTTCAAATTATCGATCACTAGTTTATTTAGTTTTCTGTCACTAGCTTAAATATTTTTTACGTTTTATTCACCGTTTGTTCTTTCACTCTTTCAGTGATGCAGAGAATGAACAAAAACAGTTTATAGTTGTCAAAAACTGTTTTGTCTCTTGTAAACATTTACTGTAACTGAAGGGACAGCTGTAAAATTATTTTTCCTACAGTCACCCGACAAAGTTGGCTTCCCTGTACTGTTTATAGTACAGAAAGCTGCTAATTGCTGCATATTTATACTTTGCCGTACGGTTTATACTTTGCCGCACGGTTTATACTTTGCCGCACATCAGGATTCCAACCAAACAACACAAAACAGCGTGGTTTTATTATGCACGTAATCCGTGTACGCTTGGAAATAGGTTGGCAACACTTAAAGATAATAATACTATGAACAGCTGATTGACTATTATAACTACGATTTAACCTGTCATTTCGTGTTTATAGTTTTGGTATTTCTGAACTTTCTGGACTTTTCTTTTAAACGTTTTTAAAACATTCCTACGGTCTTAATAAACAAGAAAATACCTTTAAAGCATTTTTTTTAGGCGCGGAAACCACTTCAAATTACAAAAACATACGGAACTATATTCTCAAAAGACGGAGCACATTTCTTGCCGAGGAAAAATAGCGGAGTGATACGGACCACGGGTACTACTTTCTCCAGGGCACCATTTGTGTAATTGTGTTGCTAGCTGAACCTAAAAACGTGTTGTATAGTGTTTGAAAGACTAATTATTTATGTTTTATAGTGACTGTAGGAAAAATATAATGTGTAACACGAGTGAAAAAGGCCTTTGCTGCACTCGAGATCATTCCGCACTCGCCTGCGGCTCGTGCGTAAACATTGCTCTCGTGTGCAGCAAAGTGCCACTTTCACCACTAGTTACACAAATAACTAATTCACATTTAAACCGTTAAAAATACAAAAAGTTGGTTAGAATAACTGGATCTTTGAAAATGGACTCTAGAAATAAATCAACTGTGAGGGGTGCAAAGCCCTAAAGGAAATTACTTTTTTAATTACCATCCAAAGGTGCACTATGGCCTATAAAGTGTGGTAGAAAAGTTCCGTGTGTTCTATTAACTAAGACCTTTAATTAGATGCCAAACTCGACCTATGCTGCTATTTAAAAATTTTATCTGACTAGACTCCTCGTGGGCCGTCCTCCCTAAGGGATAATAAAGTGAAAGTAGCTTCAAAGAGTAGACATTTATGACTATTATTGATATACCAAGCCTCATTACTTTATTTATATTGGTAAAAAATATATTAAACCGCCCCGGACTTTTATATCACACTGTATTAAGTTTTAAGATGACACCTCAATTGAAAAACGGTGAGCCTAAGTAAGACGGCTGGAACTCAGGCGTCTTACTTTTTAGTGTAGCATTGGATAATGAGCCAAAACACTACAGTAAAACCTCGATAACAAGACTCTCATGGAGATAATTTAATGCTCTCTGATGCTAGAATGATAACTCTTGGTAATCTTGCTAGAGGAAGATATCTTCCCGAGGATGAACTTATTGGGAAGCTTCAGGCATTCATATTACGCCTTGACTTGTAAGGTCAACCAGAAAACAATTGTCTAGGGTGCGCATTAATAATAATTTGATTTTGGATGAAGTGGTTCAGGGTCTCGACCTGCCCCTGTTAGGTAAGATAAGATAACTTAATGAGACTTGTAATCAAGATCGACTCTTAATTGAGGTTTCCAATAACATGTGATTAGGGGTAATATAAATTTTAGGGGATTTAAAAATTACACTTTTCTTTAACTTATAAAACCAATAAGGTTTCTGACCACATTTTATTTGTTTCAGGTATCAAAAGATGAACTGTCAAAACTGGTACAAGGATTTGAAAAACAAGATATTTTAACGTCAGGCGGTGTCACATTAGCTGGCAGCCGATACATATACCTTTCCGGCACAGATAGAGTCATCAGAGCAAAGCTGGGCAAAGTAGGAGTACACTGTGTAAAGACGCAACAAGGTAACGACAATTTTCTTTAGTCTTTTTACTTTTACTTGAAAAAAAGCCTATAACCCCTAGGTCTAGCCTGAAGTAATGTGCAAAACAGTCCCAAACTCGTGCCTAGCATCCTAGAACAAATGGAAAACATCTGGATCACCAGAAGAGAGAGATCCAATGAAGTCTCATTGGAGCTCTTTAATTATTACGATTGGACCATTTGATATGTAGCGCAATATCTATTTGACTACTTGTTGCTTTGATAGCAATGGAGAGCCTAAAATTTTGGAGAGTTGTTTAGTTTATTTATGTCAAAATCAAGACACACAGACACATGGTTTTGCGATAAATTTTTTGTAATTGTCCTGAAATACACTTGATTCCTTGATAGTCCTACATACTACATACCTCACAATACTCACAACATTGTAAGTATATACATAATAGGATATACTTATTATCCTAAATATTAAAATTTTAATTGATCTTTAGGATTACTAAGAACTTGTCCTAAATTATATTATAATATTGATAGCAATAATTGTAACTTGTTATAAGGGCCTAGCTCAATTTGATAATCTATTTGCGCCTTGCTACCTAGGTCTACTTAGATTAATGAATGTTTAAAATTTATAAAATTGTGAATTTTTCATACAGGGAATAAGGTTCGTACGGTAGGTCTAATGGTAAGAACTGGATCCAGTACAAATTTATAGGCCTATTTTTGTTTTGAGGACCCCAGAGGCCAAAACCATCAGCCGTTTTAATTCATAACAAAACAAATTATTTATTACCGGTATATTGAAGCGTTGTCATGCTCTTTTAATGGTTAAAGAGAAAATTAAATAAAATACTCCCGCCGCAGCAAACCTGCAGACTAAGCGAATTTCCATATACACAGCTGGAATTCCACTAAATTGTTTCCTTAAAATTGTCAGATTTATTTCCTATTTAAACATCATTAATATTAATGAGTACTTAGGTTTGCTGCTACAGGGAAGAAAATAGTTGGGTTTTATTGAAATATTAATAGCTCAGTATGAAGTAAACAAAATTTCAAAATTTCATTAATATATGTCCATACACAAGCAAGCTACAACACTGTATTTATTCTCCATAAGAATAACATGGTAATTTTAAATTAACATTATTTATTTTTGACCATACATCAATAGTATCTAGGATGAAATAAATAAATTGGCCAAATTTTATCAATATATACCCATAAACAAGTAAACTACAACAATTTTCATTTTCTCCATAAGAATAACATGGGAATTTTTAATTACACTATTTTTGAATTTTCTCCGTGACCGTTAGGCGTACAACAATGCTTCAATATACTAAATTATTTGTTTTTTTGAGCTCTACAAAATGGTTTAGAAAGAAATTTCAAAATTTTATGTTTTCAGGGTGAAAAATTAGAAAAACCCATTTTTACCCCATAAAACCCCCCATAAACCCCTGTTTCCATAGTCCGATCAAGCTGGTTCGCGAACTCGTTCGAATAAATGTAGGTTTACACGTTTATACCAAATTTCATCAAAATCGGATCATTTTTGCTCGAGTTATCGCGCTAACGGACACATATATAAATATATATATACATATACATAAATATATATATATATATGAATTTGAACGGATAGTGTTTTTGGCCTCTGGGGACCTCAAACGAAAAACTAAATCGGTCCCGGGTCCAGGTCTTACCATGAGACCTACGGTAATAGCTTATTCCCTATATGGGAAATTCGCTAAAACAAGAAAATTCCCATATTTTTATTCTTACGGAGAATAAGTAAACTATTGTAGGCTAGTTTGCTTCTTTATTGAACATATTTTTATCTAATTAGGAAAATTTATTTATTCCCTTCTAAACTATTACTAACTTATTTACTTAACATTTCAGAAAAAAAAAACAACAGTTTATTTACTGCCCTTTGTAGACCTAAGTACTCTTTAAACTAATGTTAAAGTATCTGAATAGGAAATAAATATAATCATATAAAAGAAGATATGTGAATTAAAAAAATACAATCGGGCAAATAGAAATTCGCTTAGTCTGCAGGATTGCTGTGGCAGGGGTATTTTATCAGTATGTTATCACCCGTGTGTTTGAGCTTGGATATCTGCTACAAGCCTTTCTAGATGTAAAATATCACATTAAAAGTATAATAATTGTTCATTATCTTTTATTAGGGTTGTAAACGATTTAATCACTGATACCAACTGGTAAACTGAGTATAAAATACCCCCGCCGCAGCAAACCTGCAGACTAAGCGAATTTCCATATGTCTGATTGGATTTACACTAAAATGTCTACTTAAAAATTTAACATTTATTTCCTATTTAAATAGAATTATTTTAACAGGTACTTAGGTTTGCTGCATCAGGGAGGGTAAAACTTTTTTTTGTAAAATGTTAATAGTTAGTAAGAAATAAAAACATTTTCCAAATTTGATCAAAATATGTACATAAACAAGCAAACTACAACAGTTTACTCATTCTCCATAAGAATAACATGGGAATTTAAAATTTACATTTTTTTGGAATTTTCTCCGTAACCATTAGGCGCATAGTAACACTTCAATATACTAAATTATTTGTTTTTTTAAGCTCTACAAAATGGTTTGAAAAGATTTTGCAAAATTTTATTTTTTTTGGGTCAAAAATGGGAAAAACCTATTTTTACCCCATAAAACCCCCCGTAAACCCCCGTTCCCATAGTCCGATCATGCTGGTTCGCGAACTCGTTCGAGTTTATCCTGCCTTACACCTTCAAACCAAATTTTATCAAAATCGGACAAAAATTACTCAAGTTATCGTGCGGATGGACACATATATATATATATATATAGATATATAAAAATTTGAACGAATGGTGTTTTTGGCCTCTGGGGACATCAAAATGAAAAAGTAAATCGGTCCCGGGCCTAGGTCTTACCATGAGACCTACGGTAATAGCTACTTCCCTATAGGGAAATTCGCTAAAACTCATGTCAATTCAAGGATTTTTTCTACTTTCTTAAAATGCTGAAATCAGTACTATTAAAGGTTTAGTGAAACCCTATGTTAACGGAATTCTACAGAATATTAAAAATCAATTTAATTCTAAAATCTCTGTATATAGGCATAACCAATCATGTTAAATGTAAAAATACCCCCGCTGCATTAAACCTGCCGACTAAGCGTTTTTCCATTTGTCTGAATTGATTTTAATAACATTAGGTTAAACGAGTACCTAGGTTTGCTGCTACAAGGAATCTAATAAAATGTATTTTTCAGTAATATGTTAATAGCTTAGTACAAAATAAATAAATTTGCCAAGTTTGATCAAAATATATCCAACTAGCAAACTACAACATTTTACAATATTCTCCATTAGAATAACATGGGAATTTTAAATTTACAATTTTTTGAATTTTCTCCTTTACTAATAACCATACAAAAACATTTTGATGCCTACTAAACTATTTGTTTTTAAGCTCTTTTAAAAATTTTATGTTTTGAGAGTCAAAAACGAGAAAAACCATTTTTTACCCCGTAAAATCCCGTTCCAATGGTCCGATCAGGCTGGTTCGCCAACTCATTCAAGTTTATCCCGCCTTACATCTTTAAACCAAATTGCATCAAATTTGGACATACAAATTACTCAAGTTATCATGTTCACGGACGTATATACATATCTATATATATGTACATATACAACAATTTGAGCGAATGGTGTTTTTGGCCTCTGGGTACAAAATGAAAAAGTAAATCGGCCTCGGGCCTAGGTCTTATTGTGCCGCCTACGGTAATAGCTACTAGGGAAATTCGCTAATATGTTTAATATAATTAATTCCAAATGTAACCATAAAAAATCTAATTTGTAATTTTAGGAAGTAAGGGGTCAAACCGCTTTCTGTTGTAGGCCTAACACTTTTTATGTCCATTTCTTTGTTAAATGAGATTGGTATAGACACTGAAAAGTTATGCTATATATTGTATTTGACGTGTATCTAATAAAAGTGAAAGTGATGACATACATTGAGCTGATGATCACAAATTCTATTGGCCAGGAGAAAGTAAGCCGGGTGATTAGCCTTGATAAGCCAACAGGTGGGCTTTGACCTTGGGCCAGATATATTCTTGGCTGCTTCAATACTGAGTGGGACTAAATCTATCCTTGCTCTTTCCATCACGTAGCCTTTATACAAGTATAACAAAATTTTATATAGCAACTGTATACACAAATATATTTTTTTAAATAATCAATAGTGGTTTTCTGAATATCTACCATATATCATAGTTTGAGATCCATATTGTCGTTTGCTCCTTAACATATTTGGCTAAGCTGAGCCAATGACTTGCTCTACAGCGGACAGTTCCCATTGCTTAGCTCATTTTCCAATTATTGATCTCTGAATTTTTTATCACGGTAATGATTAACCTGCGTTTCATTTAACATGGTGCAGTTTTAGAGGGTTTAACGTATACCGTAAATAAATAAAATAGCGTGTTTTATAAATACAGTATCTATTGAAATATGGGTCAGCAGTACAAAGGCAGGAATGATGTTTTGAAATTCATAAACAATGCATCCCTTTTTTTTGCACAATGGTAACCTTTTTTAGTCCAAGAATATTCTGTTGCTACATGTTTAAAAAAACTGTTTCCAAATTTAAACCTTGCCTTTAATATACTGTACAGGGGGAATCGTATAAGGTGTCTACTAATGATTTCAAACAAACCGAAGGTCCCATAGTGATGTAATCAGAACTTTTCCCACTAAACCAACTCTAAGGAATAACTTTCGTTTCTCAGAAGTAGAATTTGATTATTTTGGTCGGTTTAATAATTGTAACTCTTTATGTAAAGAATTTTAGTAGCTACCGTATTATTTTGAATTTTTATAGCCTACCCTAAGATATATTTTTCTAAAAAATGCAGATACAGTATCTCTACTTTGATTCAAATGTTGCACTCCTTGAGCTGAGCTTTAATTTGATATGCAATATCACAATAATAAAAAGAAATTCTTGTAAAGATTATTTAATAGGCTTAAAATCTCTATAGAATCGCCGACAAGTTTACTTGAGGAAAAAATTGTAGTTAAAGGTTAAGTTTCCTACCTTTAAAATGTGTCAAGGAAATAAATTTGTTTTATACTAAGGTACAGTAGGAATCCTTTTGATCAACAAAGCCATTTTCAAGGCTATTTCAAATGGCTTAGCTGTTAAATTAAATCACAAAAAAGTTAACTCTCTAACTTAAAAATGTATTTTTATTCTTAAAAAACTAAGTAGGTGTGTTACAATCATTTAGCTAATATAATATGCAATATCACAATAATAAAAAGAAATTCTTGTAAAGATTATTTAATAGGCTTAAAATCTCTATAGAATCGCTGACAAGTTTACTTGAGGAAAAAATTGTAGTTAAAGGTTAAGTTTCCTACGTTTAAAATGTGTCAAGGAAATAAATTTGTTTTATACTAAGGTACAGTAGGAATCCTTTTGATCAACAAAGCCATTTTCAAGGCTATTTCAAATGGCTTAGCTGTTAAATTAAATCACAAAAAAGTTAACTCTCTAACTTAAAAATGTATTTTTATTCTTAAAAAACTAAGTAGGTGTGTTACAATCATTTAGCTAATATAATTTGAGACATGGTACCGTAACATGTTTTGAATCAGGCTTAAGAAAAATCAAGAAGAGTTCTCAACTACTGTTTCTTGTTACTTCAAAACAAGGTTTCAATAATTGCTCTGCGGAAATTTACTTCAAAACCTTAATTAAATTAATATTGTGTCATTTCGTCATTTTCGGTGAGAAAATAGACAAACAATATTCTACATCCTAGTACCTCTGAGTTGCTGATCTTTGTCACATATCACTTAGCCTACTTGTACTGGTTAAAAATCTCACATTAAAATAATTTTGTGCACTAATTTAGTAGGTTAATTTTATAACTGAACTTAGGTGATGGTATGATTATCATGTCAGGTTTTATGGTTGAAAGAACTACGTTACAATGCGGTTAAATCTAGGCTGTAATGATGTTTCTTACTTTGCTGGGCTTACATTCTTTCTATTAACCCCACTCTTATTTTAGCCTACTAGTGAAAAGGCTAATTTTAGTACGTAGTCAGCTCATTTTACAAGATTAGGAATTTACGCAGAATTATTGCAGGTTTGAGAAATCAAAGCAACCTTACATCAATGTAATTGTTTATGTTGTACCCTCCGACTCAGTAATGTGTTTCTGTTGCAGCTGTTGTCGTTTCATTGTATGAAGATCCTATCCAACCTCAGCAAGCAGCGTCTGTAGTGGAAAAGTTAGGAGATTACCTAATGAATTGCGGCTACTAGAGGTAAGTTAACTCGACCTTGAGATACTTAATACTTAACCTTGTCCACCCGAATATCCTGCTTTTCTCATTAACTGGATGATTTCCAACCGCTGGTTAATATCATGCTCCTTGGATGGATCTTGCTGATCTATAAGGATCAGTAATCCACATTAACACTCTTGGCTACAATTTTAACACCGTTAAATATTACCAGAGTAGGTCAAACCATTACTTCCCATGTAATGTAAAAATTTAAAGAAAATAAACCTGGTGCAATTTGTTGAGATGGTTTACCAACTAATGGCATTATTCTGTGTTAAAAGATAAATCATTTAGCTGTTTGCTATGATATTGCATTGATTTTAATTAATATTCAACCCAATACACTAGTACTCTCTGGTGCTCTAGTGGGTTGGTACTGAACTTCATCTACCTATTTTCTTAGCTTCAAATATTTACATTACATGGGAAGTCTATTCTGTCAAACTATGTTGTCATATTAATGACTTCTTCTATACTTAATATGTCATCTTAGGTAGTCCACTTTAAAAAAGTTCATATTTGGCTCGTAGAAAAAGATCAATTTTACTCTTGACAAAGAGAAAGAATTTTTTATGTTTTCTAAATAGGTAATTATTAGTTTTTATCTCTTGGGAAAAAGGGTTGTTTTTGGTGTACAGCTGTTTTTTAATTTCAACCCAATGTGTTTCTATGTTGAGCTTGGAAAAAACAGCTAAACTTCAAAACACACTAACTTGTAATTTTCTTATCACAGTCCGAAAACAAAACTAACTTTCATCAATCAAATGCTATTAAAAACGCCTCCAACCTGGGTTGGTTGGAATTTTCATGGAATTTTTTAATGTTTGAAGATTTATATCAATTCAAAACTAAAAACAGCAGTTTTGTGTCCTACAAAAAATGAAAAGCTATTCTGTTTGCAGATGGTGGCAAGTAAGATGTGTTGTTCTGTGGCGAAGGGCGGACTTCGGAGCTAGGCATGCAATACAGCGAACAGCAACAGAACAGCAACCCGAGTGTATTGTGGACCATGTGAAACAGTGACTCTGCTGATCCTACCATCGCGACGCGGAGTTCAACGTTTCTTTCAAATTTATACAGTGAATTATGCTATTTGTTAAACTACCCTTCGCTATAATTAAAAATCGAGTTTTTAAAATGAAGAGAATCTCTAGTCCTGCCTTTTTACTTCTTCGCCTCCGACATCTGGTCAAGTGCGGTTGCATAAGCCGGCCCAGGCTCCGAAGTGAAGCGCTGCCGGCGCTGGAGATTTTTTATATTTAGATTATATTGGACAATTCCAAATATCAGTGATGAAAAATTATGCTCAGTTTAGTGCTACGTTTGTTATTTTGTTAATCGGAAAGGTCTATTCATTAATCACCATCGAAATATCGCATATTTAGCAATTTGTCTAGCTATGAAAATAATTGTATAAAGGATTCCATTGTATGTTTGAACAAATTACCTAAAGTTTAGTTTTTGTAAATTGGAAGATGGAGGAGAGCTTGCGAGAGACATTATGTGTGCCAATGTTCATCCGTTGCTGCTGGTTTATAAATATTTTGTATAACTCATTTTAATGAACTGCTCTTTATTTCACATATATTTGTGTGTTTATTGAATACATTTGTACTATTCCTTTATAAACCCCACCCCAAATATTATTAATAAAAAAAGTTGCATTTATATGTTTACAGTGTTTCTTATTTTGTTCCTATTAGTTTTGGATTTTAGAAAATGTAGCCTGCAGTGCTTAAAAGTCAAGATAGCATTATTTTAAAATCTCTAAATTATTATAGGTTAAATAGGTTTTAACGTAATTAAATAAAGTGTGAAATTTATAAAACAACTTAGTTGTGTTTACCAAATCAACATTGTATTGATTATATATACTGGGACCTACTTACTGTCTCGATATTAAATTATAATATAAATTAAAAGATTATTTTTTCTAATTCCAAACTAATATCACTCAGTACTAGGACTAAGAATATTTTAACTAACCATTCTATTGATGAGAATGAGGTCACATTCTACTGTATTACTGCTGTGAATAAATTTAACAACACAACACCTTAATTTACAATGAACACTGAGGGTAGAATAAGAATCATGGTTGGTTTTAAGGTATATTTGCAATAAGAAACTCAAAGGACAATCGATCGATTGTATCATAGATACAACATGGCAGAGGCAGTTACAAATCTACACTTGTAGAAAACTATGGACAATGTGAACTGGTGAGCTGAACGCAGCTTTACATCTGACTTCACCCCAGATAGTGGCAGTGACGGTGTAGGTGAATTGTGCGTATTATTATTAGACAAGCATTGGGCATTACCTCAGTGAGAAGGGGAAGAAGATAATTTTGATTAGGTGCTCTGGTTCGTCATTTAAGATCAGCACAAAATAATTCCCCCCATGATTCATTTTTATTACACTGGAAATACATGAAGTATATTTTCACACTCACAGAAAAGTAAACTTGCAAAAAAAGATTTTCCAAAAATGTTATGTTTACCTTAAAGCTAAACCTAAATGCCCAATGTACTTGCTCGATCCAGCCTAACGATAACACGCTGTCTAATATACAACAAATAGCATTCGAAGACCTACTACACACAGCGCCTATGTTAGCACATTCAGAAATATCTTGCCTCTACATCCGTTGCTATCTTGCAAGTATGGCCAGGTCTTTACACAATGTTACTATATTACTATTAATATACATATATTTTAATAACAGAATTTACATTAGTTATTGTAGTCGGTTATTCCAAAAACCCTGCCTTACCTGCAAGTTACTCTAAAAGCACATGTTATAAAATACGTTACTTAACGCATTTTATACAAAATCTCGAATATTAATCGCTTAGTTCTACGTAACACAAACGTCTCGCATGCACCAGACTAGAGCCTCGGAGGCGAAATCAATTATAAAAATACAGTTTATACAAGGGAAAGGACTCCCTACATTATTGGAGAAAACTGTTATTTTTACATATCAAAGATCATTTAGTATCTTTCAACTTCAATGGACAAAAATGTCCAAAATTATTATGTAGAAAATTCACAAAGAGTGGCTTTCCCTGCTGGATTTTATAAAACAAATTCATACTACATGTCTGAAGGGACAAAAAGGTAAAACTGTTCTAATTTCAAAACCTCACAGAAATAAAAGAGACAAAACCTCTTTACAAATTGAGATATGGTCCCTAAACTTGAACACTACAGTATACAAATTTTCAACTTTCTACTGAAATGAAACAAACATTTCATCAATAAAGTACAAAATCTTAATTGAAATGGCTGGATTATTTCCTCAGTAATTTATAATCAATTGCAACCTTTTTTAAAGATGAACTTGTTTATTGAAATATAATTTAACTATAACTAATTGTTATAGGCCATAATATATGCCAATCACAATTACTCATTGGTAATACTTAATACTGTACTAACAGAATATCATTCACTCTTTCATAAATGTTCAAGAATATCTTTCATTCTGTAGCACTGGGACTGGCATTCTGAAAGCATGAAAAATACAACACACTAATGAGCATAATTTACTTGATTAATTTTCCAAATTGAACTCAGTGGGTTATTAAACCTGAAGAAGCAAAGGAAATCTTTTTTGTAAAACTTATTTTACATCCCTTAAAAGAAGATAATGAATAATAAATATAAATGTCAACTCTTTTCTTCCAATCTTAAACAAATCATTTAGGCCTACACAATAATTGTCTTCATTGTTTTATTGACTAGCTACTGTCAAAGATTCCAGAGACCACTTTCAGAATGCCAGCTGCTAAATGCTTAGGTAACAGCTCAAAAGTTGAGTTTCTTCAAGAAGGTTCCATCCTGGACTCCGACTTTGGCCGGTTCAATGACAGTTGCACATCATGAAGCATTGCCACCTCGGCGGAGGCTCTTCTGGCTATTGCTGCTCCAGCGAGTAGTGACGAGAACGCTTCCAGAAACTCTTGAAGAATCCTCGCTTCTGCTTCGTCCCTTCCTCACCTGTAACAAATCATTGCTTTTGATAAATCTCAGTGTACAAGTTTGAAAAATAGTAATTTATAACTCATATAACCATGGTGGAAGGAAACACATAGGTGTGATATTATTCACGTCATATGCTGACGTCATCCAGATTGCAAACGCCATTTCACTATTTAGAAAAAAATATAATAATAAAATCAAAACAAATAAATATATACTTATATGGCAGTTACAATTGAGTGATTTTCTTCTGGGTGACCAGCTTATGACAGGAGTAGCACACCTATGTTTTTTTCTTCCATTATGTCACATAACACATAGCACATTGTTTTGTGGTTGGTTGTAATTTTATAGTTGACTAGTTGAGGATAGATAGATATTAAGGGGGTTTTCTTTTAAAACTTGGTGACGAGTTAACAATTTATTTATGTCTACAATAATTTGTAGACAAAAATTAACAATAATTGTATAATAACGACTACTGTATGATAACGATTATTGTTATAGAAAGTGGCATGTTGCTTACTAGAGTTAGTGTTCTGAACAGCTGATTCATCAACATATTCCTTTGCTGACTTTAGTGACAATTTTTTCAGTTGTCTTCAGAGTGAGTAAAGTAAAAATCTTACTTTGCTCACTACTTTTTCTCACTATGAATGACAACAGAACTTTTCTTTACAGAATGTTTATATAACGCCATTAACACCTGTTTAGTAAACTTGAACTTTTCATTTTATCCTCTTGGTTTAAGTTAAAGGTATTCTCACAAAAAAAACATATGTTTCTGAGATAAAAACCTTAACTAAACATAGAGGATAAAATGAAATGTTCAAGTTTACTGAACGCTGCCACAATAATGCAGTTCAGCCATAAAAAATCTTAACCTCAATGTTGTAAGTTTACTTCTCTGGTACATAATTGTCTTTAGTTCTCACATAAAACAACTAGACAAAGTATATTCACAACTCATGTTCCAAGTCTCTTTTTTAAAACTTGATAAAATACAAAGCACAAGCCTTGTCTTACATCAGCATTTTCATTTCGTTAAAAAAGTGCCACTTTATCACACTTAAGTGCACAAATTACTATTGAACTATTTGAATAAAAATAAGGTAGGTCCTGTTGCCAAAAATATATTGTTAATATTTTCAACAACTTTTGACAAATAATGGCACGAAGTAATACCACCTCCAAGAAAGCTAAGTGGCAATAGTGCCGAACAACCAGAAGAAAAGTGGAGAGACTTGTTGGAGTAAAACTAGACTCAGCTGTCTATGATGATTATTAGTCTTAAAATAAATGATCCTGGCTAAAGAACAGATGATCACTGATCAGTCAGTACAATTAAAAAGCTACAAATCATATGTTTGTTCTACCCTTCACTCTTCGCTCATTCAAAAAGCTAATACACTTAACTGAGGTGTTATATCGGTCTTCAAGTCACTGCAGACCTTGGCCTTGGCCTGGTTGGATCAAGTTTCAATCGTGGACTAGTCTCCCTTGGCAAAGATAAGTATGAACTAACGCCAATGCACTTGAATGAAAGTTTAAAACAAAACATTTCGAAGTAGGTAACCTGCAAATATAGGGCCATAGGAGGAAATAAACACTAGAAATAATACAAAAAACGTGTGTAAAATAATTTTTTCTGTGTGTTTTCTACAGAAAACATCCCATGCCATTAAACATATTTAGGATTTAATTATTTTGGTCAATAAATTGATTTCAGAGTTATTATTGTAATGCAAAAAAGTATAGTCTAATATCAAAATATAGTATAATGCTGAGGTGAACAGTTTGTCAAGAATAATTATTAGAGGTTGGTAATAAAATCTTACACGATTTTAAATGATTTTTATTGATAGTTCACAGGTTTAAAAAAATTTATGACGAACCGATTGTATGCTTATGTGATATTAACTTTGCATTATTTGTTATTATTTATTTACTTTATACATACATGTACTATCATTTTAAATAAATAATGACATTATTTCAGTAACTTTTTATTATGATATTTGTTCATAACAAAGAGCAAATGTGTGTTTTTGCCACTCGTTTCTTAGTGTTCTACTTAGCTTTGCTCTTAATGTACGATTGTGCACCTATCACAATACGTACTTAAGATCCTAAACAATTAAAACCACTTGCTGTTGAAAGTGTGCTGGTCGCTTAATCTAAAGTAGAGCAGTAACAGACGCATTTAGATAAAGAAGTTCTTCGAACAACCATCGACGAGACCTACAACGATAGATAAGTGCACAAACAATGCTGAAAAATATTCCCTCAGAAGGTAACTGTGTTGAAATAAAAACTCCTACGGTTATGCATCAAATGAGTACACCTGCACTCGTATTTTATTTTATGTGAAATAACTCCATTATACATTCTTACTAAGGTTACAGAGTTAAACATTTGTATAAAGATTCATAGTAAAATTTTTACTGAACACACTTTTACGCGCAAGGTTTAACTTTGCTTGCTTATTGCAAAAATGTATACAGATAAATCCATTATCGAACAATACACAATAATATTTATTCCTCGGAAGGATGACGAGGGGGCTGAGGTATTGTGTGGATTAAAAATAGTATAACACATTACTGGTTTTGTTAACGATCATTTAAAAGATGAAACCGCATTTTAAACCACTCGCCTGGACGGATAAGACGATTTTTAGATTCTTTGTAAGATTGATGCTATTTATACTAACTTAAGACGTAAGTAAAGTCTACTTTAACCAATCTGTTTTGTATGGTAACGTTTAAAAGAGCAAATATATTCTTTTCGTCAGGTTTGGTTAATGGTTTGACTGTGTGGGGTAGCATGAAATCCAAATCCAAATCATTGCAAATTTATTGAGACATCGTCAAACGTCCTTAAATAGTCAAGTAATACATCTATTTTACTTTTAGAAACAAGGCTACTTGATTTAAATCAATAGAAACATTCAATTGTGTAACTGATATATCGCTTAGCCCAGAGGTATGCCTTAAAGGGGATACCGTATTTTGGTCTTACGACTGAAAGAAGGTTTGAAAACACATCTATCCATTATCACAAAGTAAAACCTTTGTGTTTCAATAAGTAATTTCTTTCGGAATGGGCGTTTAGTGCCAAAGTATAAAGCTTCGGGCTCCACAGGCTGTTGCCAACCCCGAACTGGTTTTTATACTTCTAGATTTCTAGATTCTTGACATTGTAGAGTTTCCGGTATGTGATGATGGCTGAGCTGGTATCTGTGCAAACCTGCTACCATCACAAGAACATCCGAACTAAACTTCCTTGTAGAAGGAAAGTGTCACGACAAACCGGCGAAGAAGAAATCATCTTGCTATGGGATTTTTGTCGTAAGCTCTAGTAACTGCTGTAACAACTGTTGGATTTCTAAATACTTCATAAATATCCTCCTGGAGTTAGATACTGTATTTACTACGGTAAACGTTTTCAAATCCGTTTTAATTTAATGATAAAATAATACGTGATATACTCTTGAATCCGGATCCTCCACTGTATTTCTCCTCCGTTTAGTTTGCTACTTCACAATAGGGTGAAAATGTAGAACTGAAGATCCTCATTAAATATTTGAAAAAGAGGTACAGTTCTAAACAAAAGTAAAAAATGGTAAGTAAAACGGTCTGGTGACCTCAAACTGGTGGTGATAAATTATAGCAGTTCCGTCGTACCGTACAGACAAAATAAACAGACAAAAATACACAAATGTAATCAAATATAAAATCGAGTTGACCAAATTGAATAAAACTTTTTTGGTAAATGTTAAGCTATGGAAAACTAACCTCGTCCATTATATCCAGTGGTAAAATACTGCTTTCAAGTATTACATTGGTTGAAAGATTTTAATCCGTTCATGAAAGGAAATTTAGGTACATAAAAAGTTCCTATCATTTGTTCTGTATATTTGTTTTACACATTACTCATATTTAATTTTTAATACATAATACTATTTTGTAGCTTGATATCAAAATAAGACAACATAATATTGGTAAGAATTTTTATATCTTGTAATTAAGCAAAGTATTCAAGAGTACACAAAAGGTTTTGCTCTAAAATGTAGAACTGAAATTCAACAAGTGCGTGGGTTTGAGGTTTTGGTTTGCAGGAGGCAGGCCTATAATTCGCACACAAAGGTAGCTTAGGAGATCGATCGGTCAAAATAGAGATTTGAAGACGAAGAAAAATGTCGTCCGTATCACGTATTTTAACCAGCGCTATGTAAAATAGTAAGCGTTATTTTATACGAGTACATAATGATGTTAGGTGAAGTGGCCGGCATAATTGAGACAAAGAGATGTTGATTTGTTTCCGACAGTTGGCGCTCTGTATTGATCAGCTGGACCGGGCATCTCCCGCGCTGCAGGGGTACCAACCTAACAAATATATTGATACTGAATTAATTTAAATAAATTTAACGAATGATGCATACATAGCGTTAAAGAGTGAATTTAATAAATAAAATATGCTCAATGTAATCAGGAAACTACTTGATAGGTAACCATTCTTAGTTCTCTATGAAAATAAATAAATTGTCTAGCTATTTATTTAAATGTGAAATATAAATTTGAAATAATAATTAGTCAGGTATAATCAATTACGATCAATCGTACCCTTGCCAAAAGCTTCAAAAGTGATAGAAAAAATACAAAAAAGTTGTCTCAATGAACCTATGAGTAATTAATTAGAATTGTTTGTTTTACGACGAATGATAACGATGGACTAAGTCAATCTAGTAGCTTTATCATCCATTCACGATCAGTAACGTGCCTACATGATTCACGGCTCATAATGGCACATTTCCAATGTTTTATGATGATTAGAAATCCATTACCAGAGGCAATAAAACGACCATTCTACCAGAAACGTTCTGGAAGGTGCGTTGATTCTCATCTCATCGGACCATTGACCCATTGGACATTTTCATTTGGGACTGTTGCTAACCAAAAGAGCTGTTGTTTGGTTAACTAACCAAAGAGTACAGATTAAATTGACCTTTAACATTT